CGTACATTACAAGCATGTGTTCCACCCAAAGCAGCCCGACTCCTAAATGTGATCTTAATCGTGATGGTGATCTGTGGCCCACAGAGATTTTCCCCGTATGGATGGTTGGCGAGTGCTCCGGTGTGTGGATTGTTCCTTCTTTCCTATCCAAACGATCTATCGTCCTTATCTCTCCCTTTTTTATGCCGGTTACCCTCTTGTCGCTTAAGTGACCTAATTCCGTTGCTAGTGCCGTAATACTCTTACTTTAAATGAACCTCCTAGTCCTTGCGGCATTTAAATAACCTAATCGCCTTGCTAGTGTCGTAAAACTCTTACTAAAGCTGAACGTCGTAGTCTTCGGCCTTTAAACGACCTAGTTGCGTTGTTAGTGCCGTAAAACTCTTACTAAAACTGAACCTCATAGTCTTCGCGGCATTTAAATAACATAGTCGCGTTGCTACTGCCGTAAAACTCTTAGTACTCTTACTTAAACTAGATATTATATTGCCTGTATCTGTTTCACAGAGTGCGGCATGTGTTGTCACCGCTTCTGCCACGCCCAGAGGCCGACTGAGTGCAATGTCCCTGCCCTGGAGCGACTACGGCGGCCCAGCTTCACCAGCAGTGAGTACATAGTTACCTCAGAATGAGGAAGGACTTCCATAACGAGCGACCTCCCCAACAAACACAGTAAAAAAGAGACCTAGCCCTTACCCTAACCTTAACCCCCAACTCTACCCCTACACCTACGCCTACCCAAAACCTTATCCTTACCACAAACCCTACCCTTACCCCGAACCCAAACCTTAACTCCATCACTCAATTATACATGAATTCTATTTCGTAGTGGTCGCTCGTTATGGAATTCCTCCCCAGAAAGGCTATGTTTTGACACTTTTGGCTGGTTAATTCCATCTTTCTTTACTATAAACATCCCTTGTTCCCTCAAATAAAAATGTCAGTCAGAGGTAAAAGAACTAGATCTAGGTTTCTGATCCGTAGCAAAGAAAGATACAGACGGTCATTTTTACCATCATCCATCAAAATTCTTCCATCTTTACTATCTTGTTACTAGTATTCATATGACCTAAAAGGACGCACCAGAACAACACTATGTTACAATCAGAATACTTAGTAGGTATCTAGCTAAACGTTTTTATTGCTTACATTGCTGCTCATTTATATTATGCATGGGACTGTAAGCCTGCGTGTGTGTGTTCATGAATTTGTGTGCGTGTGTGTGTGTGTGTGTGTGTGTGTATGTGTGTACGCGGTGAAACAGCAAAGCAATGTGCCAGGATCTGGACAATAAAGATGTATTTTTATCTAATCTTATCTTGAGTTACTTAGATCTAGATCACGAGGTCAGAAATCAAATGTTCTAACTGCTCTATCAAAATCGTAAGATTATTCAGAGTCGCTATCCAGAATTCAGAGAACTGCATTCGACAAAGCTTGACATTATGTGAAACTCAAAATGTTTGACATCAAATTTCTCGAAACTGGGTACTGTGCTGATTGAAGTTTGTTATTCTGAGGTAGGGCAGTAGTTACCCACTTGAACAAGTAGATTTGTTCGGGTGGTTGTCGGATGCTCTGCTATGGTTTGCTCTTTCTTTCCTTTCAAACTTCTATCGTCCTGATCTCTCTTCCTTTTTTTGTGTTTGTTTGACACTCTCTTGTAACACCTCTAAGCTTGGACACTTACGTGACCTTGTAATGTGTTGTAAGTGCCGTAAAACTGTTACTAGAAGTAAAAACTAGTTTTGTATAATATTATGTGTATAACTGTTAAAATGTGTTAAGGCCGAAAAGCAATTTTTCTTTTTTTAAGTAGAGAAAAAAACAAATCTCATTCTTTTAACAATTGTACCTACTCAATGTATCTATTCGTGTATTTTTCAACATGTAGAATTTGAATTTTGACAAAATATTTTTCGAGCTCACCTAACTGATACCACAGATTGAGAAACAAACAATTCCTCGTGAATTTTATTTTTAGTTAAACCAATTCTGAACAGGGCACGGGAATATTTATTTTTAGTTAAACCAATTTTGAACAGGGCACTGGAATATTTATTTTTAGTTAAACCAATTTTGAACAGGGCACTGGAATATTCCTTTACGCCATTCCGTTTCCCTACTCTTTCGTTCTATTCCTTATACATGTACATGTAATTTT